TTTTTTTTTTTTTTTTTTTTTTTTTTTTTTTTTTTTTTTTTTTTTTTTTTTTTTTTTTTTTTTTTTTTTTTTTTTTTTTTTTTTTTTTTTTTTTTAACGAATTCGCCGACGATTTATCTGCGTGCGGCACGCAGCCGCGCTCGTTATTTTCCAGCTAGAGGGAGACTCGCGAATTTGCGGGGAGAAATGCACGGAGAGGAGGGAAAGAGACGGGATTGTTCTGGCTTCGTTTGGAATGTTTGACACGGAGACACGCGCGGAGATTGAGGTTACTTTAGGGCCGAGAACATTTTCAGATATTTTAGCGCGCTCGAAATCTGCTAAATATTTGACGAGCACGGTCTCTTTCCTTTTTTACGAGGAGCTTTCGCGGCATCTTTATCAATTCGGCGGTGTTTGACAGTTGATCGCGAAATTACTTCTCCCAATTCTGGCCAACGTTCGAGAAATATCCGTGTAATGTCTTGTTAAATTGCAAGAGAGATGTGGAACAGTAATCGTGATCACACAGATAAATACATACTGTATTGATGTTACTTGATTCGAGTATTTTGTGAGTTTATACATCCGCAAATCTGTTGCAAGCTCATCATCAAATTTATGCAAGATATTGGCTTGATCCAGAAGTGCTTGCGAATTTTTAAATAAAATTTAAATGCACTTTATTTCTGTCAAAAACGACTTAAACTAATAATACATGCGCCATTCTATTCGGCCAATCTTTTGCCATCTTCCATGTAATTTCATAATTTCTCTCTCGTTAAGCTTTTGTGCTTTTCCGGCCAAGAAACGTTTCAAGTGATTTTTCACATCTTCTAAAGAAGCGAAGTTTGTACCGTCAAGGGAGTTCTGTAATGAGTGAAATTAGGGTGAAATGATAATTAGAGGGGCTAATGTCGGGTGAATATGGTGGGTGGGCTGAAACATCTCAACCAAACTTCAACAGTTTTTGCGGAAGTAAAAAAGCATAATGCACCGGAAAAATGCATTATTGCCTTCCATTTTCAAGCCATAAAAATACAAGTGTACTTCTTTGAAAATTCTACTCACACCAAAAAATATGCTCCGAATTGTCAGCTGTCAAAGCATACGCAAAGATAGACAGTTGTCCTTCTAACATCACGTGCGAATGCCAACTAGACAAAAATCCACACGAACTTATGGATCAACCCAATATATTTTGCATCTAGATAGGTTTTGCATTTCAATCAAGAATATCAAATTAAAGCAAAAAGTCGGTTTATTTTCTTACATACAGTTAAGCAAACTTCTACTTAATAAAGTCTTACGATATTCTTGTGAAGAGCATATTTTCTTTTTTTAAGTATAATATATATATATATATATATATATATATATATATATATATATATATATATATATATATATGTATGTATGTATGTATGTATATGGTAGACTTTTCTGAAATTTGTAATGTGTAAGGATATTGTCAGATTATTATTGAGAAAATGTTTCTCGTAGTAAAAAAGCATTACTTCATTGAAGGGAAGTAAATCGAGTAATTGATTTTCTTAACAACAATAACATACAACTGTCATTTCCGTCACGAAACGTAGGGAAATGTGTAGGTACACGTAGTTATCTACATTTATGTTTATTAATGAAAGCGAGATTGCATGGCGGAACATTTTACATGTCGCAACAAAAGTCGTTATTGCGCTCAAATGTTTACGCGGGGATTAAGACGGTCCGTTTCCTTTATTTGAATAACGGAGTAAGAGCAAACGTCAATATTTGAGTTTATATTGAGGGAGCTTGTTATCTCTCTCGGCCGGAAACACCGGCAACTTAATTATTCAGCCATTCATTTCCTTATCCATCCAAAGGCTCGGTGCACACGAAGTCTTGAAGGATTGTACACCTTCTTTAGCCATGTATCTCGCAATAGTTCGCCGTTCGATCATCGAAAATATCAAGTGAACACGGAACTATACAGAGAGAAAAAATATCTAAGAAATACAAAGTATTTATTTGGTTATTAGTAACACACTTGCGCTTGTATTAATATATAAAATATTTGTTAAATAAGAGTACAATTTACAGATGCTAATTATTAATATTAATAATATAATTACTAATTACTAATAAGAGAATTGCAATACCTTAAAACTCTCGCTCTTCATGAAAGCAAAAAATTGTTTGCTTTGTTTAAATAAACGAATTTGAATTTAAGCAAGTTAATACCCACCAAATAAATGTTTTGCACTTTTCAAATATTTTTTCTCTGTGTACAATCTAGTGCAAAACGAAGAGTCTGCGATTAAAAAATGTTCTCTCTCTTCCTTCCCCTCCCTCTTTCTTCTCTATATATTCGACACGTCCATTATATCATCACACTTTCATGCACTCAATAATATTTCAACCCAGAAACGTCAGTGACAAATTCTAATTACGTTTAATTTGACAATCGATCATCGAGACGTTCACCGTCGGAACTGGAGATATCGGTGAAAACGGTGATTAAATTTTCGCTGGAAAAAACTCAAGCTCACATAGATAAGTCGTGTTTCCCCGAATATTTTAGAGTTTGCCAATATCTCAGCTCACACTGTGATACACTCGTCGCGAAGACGTCAGTATCGCGTGCACGATCATTAAAACGAGCGCACAATCAACGCGCCTGCCTGGTCGCGTTCCTAAATGTAGATCGCGCTGCAATTTTTGCAGCTCGTTCCAGAACGCAGATAGTGTAGTTTCGTGGCTCATGAATATGAGGGCGACGGCGTGATATCGATGTTCGATGTCGCACGAGCTACAACCACTGGTTCCCTCATCACGGACTTTATTTGCGACCGCGTACGTGACGGACAGGCTCGCGCGCGCGAAAGAGAGAGAGGGAGGGAGAGAGAGAAAGAGAGAGCAGAAATCATACATGGCCGAAAGGAAAATGTTTATGATGCACGCGAACGCATTAAACCGTGCCACGTAACAGCATGAAGTCCGCATTGTCCTCTGCATCCGGCGAGGAATCGAACGCGATCGATATATGAGAGCGGAAAGCGCGCCGATAGCTCGCCGAGCGGCAGCCGCCAATGGGAAACGCTCCTCTTTCACCCTTGAGCAGGTCGGATGGATAAGTTTGTTTATCCGGGGACGGGAAGTTTCCTTAAGCACACACGGTGCAATCTATACTTAGCTATATATATATATATAT